TGCTGCCAGCCCTGTGGCCACCCTGAGTGTGCCCGGCTCTGAAGGTCCTTCCAGTGGCCTCTGTCCTTTCACAGCCCCTGCAGGCGTTGTCCAGGTGTGGGAACATCAGCCCTGCCACACCCCAAACCCAGGACAGGCCCCGGCTCCCCGGTCTGAACTGGCCTCGGCCCTGAGCCTCAGGGGCCTGGGGCCTGCTCAGAGGGGGCGGTGGGTGGTCTGGGACTAGGGAGACAACAGCTGAACGTCCTCCTCCCAGGGCCCACTCGAGGAAGCCCCTTCCTGATCGCACGCACAGGGCGGCACTGGTGTGGAGGCGAGAGCCGGCCTCCGTGCCTGGGGCAGGACAGTCTCAGGGCCGCCTGCACTCTCCACCCCTGCAGGAGCAGCTGGGCAGGGTGCCACCGCACACGGCCGGACAGGCTCCTCTCCGTCTCTCTCCCATGAATTGCCCCACACAAATCCTCCTCTGGGGACCTCACCTCACCCACGTTGTCCCCACCCCCATGGCAAACGGCTGGTCAGCACCCCCAGGTCAGACTCATTGCTCATGCATGTATTTCCCACCGAGTCAGTCGGTGCTGGCTCTCACAGGGACACGGGCTGCAGCGAGACAGAGGGAGCGTGGGAGCGTTCAAATCTGTGGTTACAGGTGGACAAGGCCCAGGAAGGCCAAGGTGCAGGAGGGCCAGGATGGGGGTCTGCTTGGACCAGTGTGGACAAGCAGGGCCTGTCTGAAGAGGTGGCCTCTACGCTGAAACTGCACAGACGGGAAGTGACCAGCCAGGGGAAGCGCCACTGCTCCCAGCTGGGCCTGCCCGCCTCCCAGGCTTCTCAAAGGCCAAGCAGAAGGGACAGTGACCGTCACCTGCCTCTGCTGAACCTCCCATGGGAAGGGACCTGTTGGGGTTGTGGCCAGGTCACCTGTCCTGGACCCCCACTGCCGCTCCCGTGCAGGCCCGCCCTCACGAGGAGGCAGTGAGGCTGGTCGGCAGGGCTGGCTGTGGAGACCCGTGGAGGCCGCCTTCGTTGTCACTTGGTTATAGAAGCTGACTCGGAGGTTTAGGGAGAAGCACTTCGGAATAAGCTGGAATTGTCCGATCCTCTTGCAACGCGGCCTTGAGAGGCTCACTGACACGCTGCCCTGCTCTGACTGGGCATCTAGGTTGTTTCCACTGTGCAAGGGCGGCCCAGGGAGGGCACGGCGGCTCTGCCCGGAGGCGACCCTGGAGCCACCTTGCACAGCCTGAGAAAGGCGTGCGAAGAGGTGCATCAGGGTCTCAAGCCCTGAGTAACATGCCGTCGGTTAGGCACAGGCGAGGGAGCAGCACACGCAAAGGCCCCGAGCCATGATGTGTTTGGAGGCTGACAAGTGTCCCCAGTACCAAAGAGTGGACGCAGGTGCCGTGAAAGGGGGGCCCCGAGGCCACGGGGCCACTATGGCTGGAGCCGGCCGAGCAGTTGCTGGGGCGGCACCTGGGCCAGAGCATTTGGAAGCAAAGGAGAGACGCCCAGATTTGCATCATGGAAAGTCCGAGCTCTGGGCCAAGGGGGTGGGAGGGTAGAGGAGGGCCCCAGCGGGGGTTCCTGGGACAGTGAGAGCAGGGCCTGGCATCGAGGCACAGGTCTCAGGGTGTGACACCCAGGCTGGGAGTCCCCAGGGACAGCTCCGGGCGGGAGCTAGCCGTCTCCTTGGCCTGCTGGCTAGGGGGGCGGTAGAGTAGAAAGGCTGTGGCTGGGGAGGAAGAGCCCAGATTCCTCTGTGCGTCCTGCCCTGGAGTCCAATGTAGAGGCCTGGTCTGGCCTCCGGTCCCCCCACCCCCTCCTCCCTCCCCCAGGCCCCAGTGCAGCCAGACACTGTCCACCAGCGGTGCCGAGAGCCCTTTATCAGATAATAAATAAGTCGGCTGGAGCCGTCCATGTCAACATCTTGGCGGGCCTCGCAGGGCATTGTGGGGGGGCTGCCTGCAAGGGCCTCCGCGTGGCCGTTGAGGGCTAGCCACCCCCACCCAGGCTCCGATGGGCCTGCCAGGCTCTGCCGAGATGTGATGTGTATGGGTAACAGGCACCACAGCCTCCCAACTTCAGGGGGCCCCACCCCTCTGGCCTCTCGTCGGCCAAAAAGGGTCCATGGGGGGGCCGGGACCCAGGGGAGCCTCATCAGCCTCTTTTTGGGCCTCTGTCCACACAGCCTGTCCACACCACAGCCCCTGAGTCGCCACACACTTCCCCTGGGCTTGTGGCAAAGGAAAGAGCAGTGAGCGGGGAGGACACCATCCCTTCCCTGAGGCACCTGGCCTTCTCCCGACCTGGTGCCCGGCGCTTCCCCCAGGACCGCAGTCCTTGGTCCCTCCCGCCTGGCCCCAGGAGCGCCCGGGGGGCTTTGAGCCCCTTTGCCCTAGTCCTGGCCCCCAGAGGCTCTTCGGTCTGGGCACGGCTGGGCTGGAGGGGTTCAGGGTGGTGCTTGTCCGAGAGCCCAGGGGGCAAATGTGCACCATGCATGCAGCAAACATGCTGCTGACACCTGCAGCAAGGCAGGCGGAAGACAGGGTGAACGTCACAGACCCTGACCCCATCGTCAAGGATGTGTGTGTATGGGGGGGGGGGGGGACGGGGAGGGGGAAGTGTGGGGGGGGATGCTTCTGCCTCGAGGACCAAGCCTGCAGGAGTGTCCCTGGGACACGTTTGGCTGCTGCCCTGCAACTGGAGTGAAGCCACCAAGGGCTAGAAGGTTGGGAGAAGGGCACCTTAAAATGTTCTGATTTAAGCAACTCTGACGAGGGGTCCTGGTGTCGCCGCTTTCTGTGCCCTGTGTGCTCACCGGCAAGGTCTTCTCCCTTCTCCAGGCCCCAGGGTGGAGCCCGGTGGGGGCTCGGTGGACTCTGGGATGTGGATGGGCAGGGACAGCTGCAGGGGGGCGCCCCTCCTCGGGCTCCCTGGGCAGAGAGGCTGGAGATGAAGTGGGTGCAGTCAGGCAGCGCCCATGAGGTGGCCTTTCCACCCTGTCACTATGATAAGTGGCCCAGGCTGCAGGCCTGCCAGCCCGGTGTCCGGTTGTTTGTGACCAGAGGGCAGAGCCTTGGGGGCCGTAGCAGGAGGAAGGGCTGCAGGAAGGGGTGCCCAGCGGCTATATTAAGGCTGTAGGCACTCGGGGAGAAAGGCTTAAATTTAGCAGCAACGCCATGCCCAGAGGTGGGGCTCAGCCTCCCTCATCCTGGGCATGTCCTTAAAAATGACAAAAAGAGGTGGGAGAGGTGGCGTCTTCCTTCGCTCTGCCAAACCCACCCCTGCATCTGTGAGGCCCTGCCCCCTCGCCTGCCCCACCGCCACCTCCAGGAAGCCTGTGGTTGGTCAGTGCGAGTGCTGCCTCCAATACTGGGGACTCCGGGGCCTGGGCCCACGTGCGTGGATTACAGGCCAGGGCACCTCCCCTACCTACAGATGGGGAAACAGCTTCCGACAGAAGCCACTGGCTCCTGGCACTGTGCTGTGAGGGTGCTCTGCAAGCCCCTCCACACCTGGGCCCTCACGTGGGCCTTGCTGTTGGCCGGATGCCTTGTGTTCCCTGGTGCCTCAGTTTCTCTCATCAGGTGTCCGACCCCTCGAAGGGGGAAGGGCAAGTGATGGGGCTGGACAGAGCAGAGCTTCCCTCTGAGGGGGGAGGGGAGGCTGGCAAGGAAATGGGAGACCCCTTAACTTCTCTGTGCCTCAGTTTCCTCACCGGGAACAGTCTTTTGGGAAACCTGTGGGCATGGAGACAGATGGCAGCCAGCTCTCTCTAGCAGCAATCTCACATCTGGCCACAGGCAGGTGCACTGCCTGCTGCCGTCTCTCCCATCCAGCCTGCCTGTGGGAAGTGCTGGTAGTGAGCTGCCAGGCTGACCTGCCCACGAGGGGTTTCTTCTGCAGCCTGGCACTGGCCATGCAGTTCCCTATGCCAGCGGTCGCCAGCCTTTTGGACCTCACAGACCACCAGCTGGCGACCGCTGCCCTATGCGGCTACAGGCCCCGGGGCTGCGCTGACGTGGCCCCGGGCCTGCAGCAGCTCCGTGTGTGAGAGGCTGGGCAATGCCCAGCAACCTCAAAGGCATCATCCATTCTGCAGGCGCCCTCCAGGGCCCTTGTGTGACGCAAGCTGGCCAGTGATGTCCAGCAGACCGGCCCCTGGGACGCATTTCTGAAAGGGATGGTCTGATGTTGGACGTGTTCGCGCGAGGCCGGGAAGGTCCACAGGTGATAGAGACAGGAAGGCAAAATCAAGGTCTTTATTTTACATATTTTCTTATGGCCTCCTTTGTCTTAAAAAAAGAAAATAAAAAAGGAATGCGTGTGGAAAGTGGGCTGGTTGCCCTCAAGGGGCAGCTGTAGGTGAGCGGACATTCTGGAAGCTGGTTTGAATCAAGTTGGGAGCTGGGGAAAGAAGCTTTTAATTGGAAGACTTTACATTTTTTTTTTTTAAATTCCAGTTTCTGGCTTCCCTGGAAAAACCAGGAGGTCTTATTGGTTAAAGTAGCATCTGGGTACAAGTGCCATGGCCCTCGGCCGGGTGTGCCCCACTCCCCTCCACTCCCTGTTGCCTCCAACATTAAGCTGTTAGCCACCCATCAGCTCCCGTGGGCAGAGCTGTGTCTAGTTGGCAGGACCAACTTACTGGTAACCACCCGACCTGCGAAGGACTTGTGCAGGAGGAAGGGGGTGTGACAGGTAATTCTGCTGGGACAACAGACAAGCCCGGATGTGCGCTCACCCCACCAGCAGCCTGTGGGTTGGAAAAGGCTCAGGTACTTCACTCTGCCTGTCAGAGATGCTCACACACAGATTCAACCAGAACAAGGTCTTTACTGTCTGCGAGGATGGTGAGGTGCAGGGCTTCCCCCGGTGTGGCGGTGGGGGAGGAGGTGCGGGGGGGGGGGGGGTGCGTCCATGGCCTGCACACCTGCCCCTGGCAGTCCTGCGCTTACAGGAGAGGTGTCTTCCTGGCCTTGGCCATTCTGTCTGTGATCCTGGCTTCACAACAAAAGGTTGAGTTTTTCCCAGCAGCTGCCACCTGTAAACATGGCAGCGGCAAGTGTTGACAACGGAATTCAGGTTGGCGGTAGGCACCCCTGGCCAGAGTGGTGTGAAGCCTCGTGCAGCATTTGGGGGTCCCTTATTGGGGGGGCACGGGCCTCTGTCCCCAAGGCCTTCACCCCACTCCGGGGCCTGACTGCCATCTGTCCAGGCCTCTCCGCTGCAGGCCCAGTGCCTCGAGATCCTGCTGGCTGCTGTCTCTCCTGGTGGGTGGCCCAGTGGTCTGTCCCTTGTGCTGAAGCGACGCAAATCACAAGGTGGGTCTGGTGGGTGACTGGGAATCTAGGCCAAGGCCAGTGCACACCAGGCCTCCTGGCGCAGGGCCCCTCCCAGTCCAGCTTGGGAGCCCAGGGCCATGGAGGGGAGGGGGAAGTCTTCACCCTCGAATTTGAACTCCAAGTGGCTGGGAGCCAGGGGGTCGTCCACCTGGCTGGAGGCCTGCAGGGAGGACAGGGATGTGTATAAATTCAGGAACCCAGGCTGCCTCACGTGGGATTGTGGGGTCAGGAAACCTCACCCTAAGGAGTCCCCTCACTCCTGGAATGGAGAGGGGGACCTCTTGTGAGTGTCAACGTGATGACACGCTGGGCTCTCACCCCATGTCTAACACAGGTCAACTCTCGGTACCAACGACCAGCTGTGTGGCCAGCCCAGAGCTCCCGGGAGAGGCCTGCAGGGGCCCTGGCCTGGCCAGGGAGTCAGGCTTCCCTGAGGAGGTGCCCGGGAGCCAGCTCTGGGCACCCACCCCGCCCACATGCCTTACCTGGGAGGTGAGGCAGGGCCCAGGGCAAGTAGGGGATGCCGGGTTGGGCTTGGGTTTCAGAGTGGCCGCTGAGCTCGCAGGGGTGGGGATGGAGGACAGCTGGGAGGCTGTGGTGTTCCCTGGGCACCCTGGGAGGAAAGGTGGGACGTTTATAGAAGCTGCCACACAGCCCGTCCCTCCTGCCTCAGTGCCGGGGGAGCTCCCTGCCCCTCCCCCAACCAGAGCCATCCCAGAACAGGTGGGGGACAGTGTTTGCAGCGGACATGTAAACCTCGAATGGTGGAAGGTGAGACAGGCCAGGTGATTCCGCAGGGGCCACAAGCCCCACCAGAGGCCTGGGAGCGACTAGTGGCTGGGGTCCCGGCTCCCACCCAGCACCCGGGGCCCTGGCCCTGCACCTGAGGGGCCCTTGGTCTTGGCAACATTCTTAGGCTTCCTTTTCCGAGTCTGGATGCTTTCCTTCTTCATCGCCAGGGGCCGGGGCACCTGCAGAGACATGCAGGGGCGGGCGGCGGGTCCCTCTCCCTGTACAGCCAGGAGCCCTGCTGGACGAGCTGCCGCCTGGGCTGCTGCTTCCCTCCAGGCGGGTGGAGGAGCTGTCCTACCCCAGCCTCCTGGAGCTATCAGGGCCAGGGGGACCCTGGTGTGCAGAGGCAAGACTAAGTGTCCAGCTGCTGCCCCTGGCTGAATGGTTGTGAGAGAGCCACAGTGATGTGACGAGCCTCAGGGAGCCCATCTGCACAATGGGCCTGAAAGTAGCAGTGTGTGGGGCCCCATGTGTAACACGGCCAGTCCCAGCCCCACCCACCTTATTCCTCTCCAGCCCCCTGGTCCCTAAGTGCCAGGAAGGCTGGTCAAGTGGGATCCCTGTCCCCAGCTCAGGCTCAGCAGCCCTCAGCCTCTCCCCATCCACCCTGCCCCACTCACCCCGTGCAGCTTGGTGTAGAGCCCGCAGGCATTGCACACGGGCTCGCCATCTGCGTTGCGCCGCCATAGCGTGGTGGTGGTCGTGTGGCAGTTGGTGCAGCAGAGGCCGGCACGGCGGGTCGAGGACTGTGGGAGGGGAAGGCCAGGTTGGGGACCTAACCCGGTGCTGGGGGCCCAAGGCTCTGGGCTGCTGGGCTAGGCACAGCTGGAGGAGGGGGATGGAAGTGGACTCAGACTGACTGGCAGCCAGGCCTGGCCCACGTGGGGCCGCTAAGGTGTTGTGAGGCTGTCCTGGAGTCCATGCCCCATGAGCCTGGCACAGGTCACTTCACTTTTGGGCCTCAGTTTCCCCAGCAGTGAAATGGGGGTGATACCAGATCCACCGCAGGCCTGTTGTGGGGCTAGGATCTCATGAAGACCCCATATTTCTACGGTGAGTGGCACCTCCTGAGGCCAGGCCCCAGGCTGGACGTGTGGGGACCTGCTGGTCCTCTGGACACCTGCCTCCCAGGACCTGGGACTCAGCACGGGCGTAAGTCAACAACTCCCCACTGGACAGCGGGCTGAGGGCACCAGCCTCATCGTGCCTCATGTCAGAGTAAGACTGGGCCCATCGGAACCTTCCAAAAGCCGTTTCCTTCCCGTGTGTCCTGGCAGAGTTGACCGCCAAGCCTTCAGGTCCATATCTGATGAGGGACCCCAAACCTCCCTATGCTTAGGTGCCTGATGGCCCAGATAGCACTGACTCCAGGGATCCTGAGAGAGCAGGCGTTTGAGGCTCAGGTTGGGGACCTAACAGGGCAGAGAATCTGAGGGGCCCTGCCACCAGCTCAGGCATCCCCGGCACCCGGAGCCCAGCCACCTCTCTCTCAGCACAGATTCTGCCTGACTCACATTTTGGTGTTTGGGTGGAGTCTTGTCACCCATAGCTCCAGAGCTCCAGATGCTCTGTTCCAGGCACAGGGCCCCAAAGGTACCTCGGACTCGAAGTCCTTCCCCGCATTCCAGTAGCATTGCCTGCCGGTGGCACCGGCCCTCCCCAGCTACCTGCCCCCAAACTTTGTCCTGGGGGTGCTGCTCTCTCCTCACCAGCCACTGCCTCAGATGCCCCTGAACTTGTCCCATCCTCTCCTCCACTTGTACTGCCCCTGCCTGGTCCCCGTGCAACCAGGGCCAGCCCAGGCCACATCTGCTACAGAAGCCCATGAGGACCCCATACTTAAAGCTTTCCCAGCCCGAGGGCAATCAAGAGACTGCCAAGCCAAGCCACAAAGGAACCTGACCTGGGGGGTTAGGGGTCAGCAGATAGGGCCAGCCTCAATTTCCCCACTTGTCAGCAGTCTCTAGGATCCTTCCTTCTGCAATGACTGAGGGTAGCAAGCCTTGTTGACCACCCACTTCCCCCAGGCTGTGGTCAGCGGTCAAGGGCGCAGACCTGCCCCCTGTGAGTGGCCGGGGAAGGAAGTGGGGGCTTGTCTGAAGCCTGGGCACCAGCCATTCCCAAGAAAACACAGGCCCTGGAAAGACCTCTCCACGGGCAGAGGCCACAGACCGACCGCATCCAGAGAGCAGCTGCTTTTACTGGACACCAGGGTCTCCCTCTGCCCCTCCCTTCTATCTGCCCCTCGGTGCTGGGAGCTGTGCACACAGAGGGTGCCCGCATACAGAAAACATACACAAGCACCCAGCCCCCCCAAAGCATGCGACCCAGCCTCCCTCTCTGGGGAGTGTGAGGGGACACCGGGAAGCCGGGTCTGAAATTCCTACAGTGAGCACAGATCCAAGTTGAGAAATTGGAGATTAAATTAAAATTAAGAAAATGGGGGAAAAACAACCGTGAAAAAAATTCAATGTGTTTGCTCATTGATCTTGCCCTCTCACTAGCCTCGTTTCAGAGGGGAAACTGGGGCTCAGAGGCCCTGAGGGGCCATGTGCCCTCAGGTGGGCGGAACCACCTTCCTGGGCCTCCATCTGCCTGCCTCCCAGCGGAACCGCGCTGCGGCTGCTCTCAGGCCCTGACTGCCAGGCGCTCCCTCCGCTGCACTTGGTTTTCTGATTTGGTCGGTTCTTTTCAAATGAAGTGAAACTTCAAAGGCTGCGGGCCCAGCAGAGCTGCCTGAGCTCTGGGGCACCCAAGGAAGTCAGGGCGGGCAGCACTCTCCACCGAGCAGGGACACTGGGGAGGAAATCAGCTGCAGGTCACAGGTGCATGCAGCAGCCTCGAAAAATGGCTCCAATTTCAAACGGGTCCCCTGCACATCTCGGAAGGGGAGACATACGTGGGGGACATTAACCCGATAAGCTCATGTCCCTGTTGCTCAGGGCAAACTTCGGGGGACAAGAGCCTGCGAGGCAGGGCTGTGCCAGAAGGCACGCCTGGCCAGTGGACAGTCAGAGCCCCAGTCAAGGTCCAACACTGGGCCCCCACGGCACTGCCGCTTCCCGGGGCTGGCACCAGGCTGCCACAGGCCAACGAGCCTACTGTCCCTGATGTGGGCTGCGGGCCAATGTCTAGGAGGGACCTGAGGGGGCTGCAGAGCGCCTGGCCCGACGGCAGGAGCTGGGGAGGCCCACCCACAGTGACGGAAACCACCACAACGATCTGCCCTGTCTGCACTGACGGAGACCTCAGGCCAAGGTGCACCCAGCCTGCCAGTGACGAAGCAGGCACATGGGCGCAGAGGGCAGCAGCTACGAGCCTGCAGGGAGGGGTGCTTGTTATTGTCACGTTCCTGTATCTTGGTGACAAGCTTCTAGGGTGTTTGGAGTCATTTAAAGGTCAGGACAAGTTTTTCCTGGGGAGGCCCCCCCTGGGACTTCAGGTCTGGCCACACACAGGGACAGTGAGACACTGGAGTGGGGGGAAGCCTGGGGCCATGGGCCCAGCCCCATCGTGGCGGGAGCCATGTGGCTCAAGCTTTGGTCCCAGGACTCTCTGAGAGTCTCGGTTTCCACACCAGCCTGGCCCTGCCAGGACCAGCCACGGGGCAAGCATTGGGGCTGCCCTCCCTGAATGCCAGGCAGGAATCCCTAAGTGAGCCAGAGTGAACCCCTAGATGCTGCTTGGGGAGAGACAGGTAAGCCCCCTGCCCCACTTGAGAAAAGCTTCCTGGGCGTGTTCCACACTCAGATCTGCGTGGGCCTGGACACGGTGACCAGGCTGTGCACCCTCCATGGCCTATGCCTTGGGGAGATGAGCGGTCTCCAGGGCTCTCCCCCTTAGCAGGCACCCTAAGTACCCGAGTACCCTGTGTTCCCCAGACCAGCAAGCAGAGGCCTCACCAGGCCAAGTGCCCAGACAGCCTGTTCACAGAGCCAGCCAAAGCCAAAGTGCTCGGCAGAGCTGTCTGATCTGGCCTTTACCACACGGCGCGGGAACAGTTCCTGAATTCATCGCCCAGGGGCCTGGGCCAGGAGACCCAGGACAGGGGCAGGGGGCTCAGCATGAGGGGGACTCAGGGGACCCTGAGGTGGACAGTCCTGGCCTGTACCCAGGGTCTGCCATGGGCTCTGGGTGCCCAGGGCTCTGGTTGTTGTGAGGATAACCATCTCAGCGCTTAGATGGCAGCCCTGCCTGCCCACCCCCGAGTCAGGGGTTTCCTGCTGGGAGGTGGGCCCTACAAAGGTGGGGACACCATCTTGTCCCGATGACCAGTGTGTCCTTGGCACCTGGCTCGGGGCCTGGCACAGGGAGAGTGAAAGAGCCAGAGGAGGGCTGGCCTGCTGCTTGGGGTCCCCTAGTACCTTCCCCTCTTAGCCTGTTTCCCCTCAATGAGGGACTCACCAGACACGGGCGGTACAGCACACCAGGGGGTGGGGGTCATGAATGCAGGGGCAGAGATGAGAGTGTGGGGTGATGTGGACTCTAAGGGGCCTGCTCTCTCTGAGAGGCACAGTGTGAGTGGAGGAAGGTTGGGGAACCCACAGAGCCCCAACTCCAGGCCAGAACAGAGGGTGCAAACAGCAGCGCTCTGCTGCTTCCCACCTGTCCAGTCTGGGGCTCGGAGGATGGCCTGATGCTCCCAGAGCCGCTTCGGTTTCTAGTAAAGGCCTGCAGCTGAGCCCCCCACCCAGCCCAGAATGGCAACTGTGTCGGCTGGCTGGGCTACCCCCCAGGGTCAGCCAGGAATCAGCCCCCTCCACCCCTGCCAGGGCCTGCTGCGCCAGAACCGGCCGACTGTACCTGACAGGACTCATCCCAGCGTGAGACCAGAAGGCTCGGCACCCCCAGCACCGTACCCCTGCCCAGACCTCGGCAGGAGCCACTGGCAGCGCTACCTTACACAGCTCGAAATCAAGCAGTCCCTTCCCCTTCCTTACAGTCACGGGAACATCAGCGTTCGCCTGTGAACCATATAGAGCAAAGCAACTTCACCTCTTTGCTCAGCTTCCCGAGCTCTGCCCCGCCTGATCCTGTCCCTTCAGGATCGGTAGAAAGTGCTCCCCAAAGGGACATCGGGGACAGCGGACCCAACGCCCCTGCTGTGTCCCCTAATGCCGCACCCACACAGCATCCAGCTTCCCCTCCAGCCCACGCCAGGCCCCTTGTGCCCCACCACCAGACAAGAAGCTTGTCACCCAGTCACCCTCACAGCCACAGGGCTGAGCCCCCAGCAGACTGTCCCTATCCAGACTGGGAGACAGGGAGACCCCACCAAGTCGCAGCCTCAAGCTTAGGGAGGAGGTTCTTTGTCCCTTCCCGCCATAGCAGTGGGGAGGCGCCGTCACCTCTCTGGGGGCATCCCCAGAACGCAGCACCTGGGTCTGGATTCCCACGCTGCCAGCTGGGTCCCACACTCACCAGGCGCTTCTGGGGCCGCACCAGCGGCCGGTTGACTCCGTTCATCTTGTGGTAGAGGCCGCAGGCATTGCACAGGTAGTGGCCGGTGCCATCCCGGCGCCAGAGCGGTGTGGACAGGGCCCCGCAGTTGACACACTCACGACCTTCACCAGAGAACTCCTCCAAGAAGTCAGACACTGCGGGGACAGGCAGCTCATGGGACGAGGCCCTGTCCCTCCCTGGCGCTCGAGGGCGTCTGCAGCACTTTTTCAAACTTAAAAATTGTGCCTTAAATTTATTTTATTGTAAAATATATTTTATCTAGCTGTAAATTTACATGCAGTAAAGTTTGTGCGAATTTAAAACACTCCTCAGGGTTGGTTTTATAAGGTGGGGAAGGTTTCATAAATTAGCCGTTGGTGAGGAAACAGGGAACTGCCCCCAACCCCAGCCGGGGTCCAGCTCTAGGGTCTGTGATTTCCACCCGCTGGAGAGGTAGGGGGTCCGCGTGCAGAGGGAGCCTGGGAGGGGCCTGTCCTGCTCAGAGCGACAGCATCCGCGGGGCCAGATCTCCAGATCCTACAAGGAACAAGGCCCGTCAGCTTGGCTGTGGTCGCCACTTCGGAGGCAGCTGAGCGCAGCCCCCACGGCCTTGGGGGGCACACAGACCGGGCCTCTAGGCCCCGCCAGGCGCTGGCGGCTCGGGTCGGCGGAGCGGGGGCGGCGCAGGGATCAATCAGCGCCGGCGGGTGGGCGCCTCGGCCCAGCGACCCGCTTCCTGCGCCGAGGAGGCGGCAGCGGCGCCAAAAGGCCGGTCTGGGCTGCGGCTGGCGGCGAGAGGATTGGCCCGAGGGGTCCCCAAGGGCGGCCCCGAGGCCTGGGTTTCGTTCGGTTCGGCCACGGGGTGAGAAGGTGTCAGGGTCTGACTCCGCAGAAACGGGTGGAGGGTGGAGTGTTCTCAGCCGTGTGGGTCTGGAGTCCGACTTCCCCAGCTGCGGCGGGGAGGCCGGGGCCAGGTCCTAACTGGGAGAGACGAGCTGGCGGCCTATGGAAAGAAACCCGTGGCTTGAACTTCGCGAAATCACTTCTGAAACTTTTCAGAGACGTTTACCGTGCAGGCTCCATGGGCACCATCCAAAATGCTGGCTTCAGATGAAGGAAGGTAGACATAGGTACACTCCCCTCTAACGTGTAAGGGAATTCAGGGCCCCGGGCTCCGCGGGGCGGCGAGACCGTGGCAGACGCTGCACTGTCGGGTCCTGGCGCCCCAAGCTGGGTGCCCCCGGCGGGGAAAGCTCCGCATTTCGTAGGGTGCGGGTGGCACTCCGGGGCGGCCGAGGACCCAGTGGAGCTGCCCCAGCCCCGCACTCACCCAAGGTGGCTCTTCGGCCAGGAAGGCCCGCCGGACGGCCCTGGAGGCTGTGCAGAACGCTGCCCTCGAAGGGTCCGGAGGCCCAGGACGGGGCCACCTCGGTGCTCACGTAGGCCGGGTACGCGGTGGGGTACGAGGAGCCCACAGGTCGCCCGAGCGGGGCCGGGTACGGGTCGTGAGCCAGCAGTGCGCCGTGGTAGGCGCCGCCGCCGTCCCGGCCTCCCGCACCACCACCGCCGCCCGGCCCTGGGGGGCTGTGTGCAAAGGAGAAGGAGGTGGCTCCGGCCGGCTGGGAGGCTGGCGGGTGCGGGCTGCCGGAGACGAAGGCCGACGAGTCCGCCGAGGCCGCCTGCACCCACCCGGGGTGCGCGGCGAGCGCGGAGGGCTGCGGGCCGGGCTCACACGCCGGCAGGTAGGGCAGCATAGAGGGGACGCGCGCCGGCGGCACGAACACCGGGGAGCCGGCGCCTGGTGCGTGCAGAAAGGCGCCTGAGTCTGCGTAGGTAGCCTGGCCGGGGCTTGGGGCCAATGCCAGGCTCGGGTACATCTTCCCGGAGTTGGCCTTGACCTGCGGGGAAGAAGGACGGGCCTTGGGGTCGTCACGGCAGCTTTGCACCTCCCGCAGCCCGAGCTCCTGCCCGGCAGGTGCGGCCACTCGGGCCGCGCTTCCCACTTTCCAGCCGGGCAGTTTTAGGGGCAAGTCCCGGACCTGCGGGGCGGACCGGCGAGGGGTAGCCCGCTCGCAGCCGGAACTCCAAGCTCACCTCCTCCACGGTCTGGGCTTCTGAGACTCCCGGGCGGGCTCAGAAAAAGGGTCCGGCGCGTCCCGCCGGAGGGTGCAGGACCTGGGCGCCGGCCCCGCGCTGGGAGAAGGCGCCAAGCCACGGAGCGGCCCTCACCGGCTCGTCGTGCGCGCCCGAGGGCGCGGTGGCTGCGGGGGGCTGGTGTCAGGAGGTCTGGAGACTGGGAGCCCGGGGCTCCGCTGGGAATCCCGGGCGCTCGAGCCGCGCCGCCGCCTCGCCCCGCCCCGCCCCGCCGCGCCGCCCCTTCCCTCCGGGCGCCCTCTCCTCCCTCCCAGCGGGGTCAGTGCCGGGGCTGCGGCCGCGGCGCCACGTGACCGAGCAGGCTCGGCCCGCGGGCTCCGCAGGAAGGCGACGAGGGCGCGCGGGCTGGGCACCCAGCGTCGAGTCCCGCCAGCGCAGGCGACAGGAGCCGGCGGCGTTTTCGGGCCGCCCGGTAGCGGGGGCTCGGAGACTAAGTTTGTCGGGGGACTCGCGGGTCTCCAGCCCCGGATTCCACGAGGCTGGCCTGGAGTTCCGTGTCTGTGGGTGGACACGCTCACGGACACGCGGCGATGGGGCCCGTTATTGCGCCCCTGGACTCGGCACACAGCGCAGGGATCCGGTTACCATGGGGATCGACGGCCTCAGTGTCCCGGGACTTGAACCGGGGGAGTCTCAGCGTTTCCTCCACTCTGACCAAGCCCGTCGGCTGGGGGCGTGGCGAGGTTGGCAGGCCCGTTTGGATGCACCCCGCCCTTCTTCGAGGTCCCAGCCCCGCTTCTGCCCCCACCCTAGGTGGGACTTTCACTCGCTTGCCTCTAGGGACGGGGGTCATGGAGGTGCCCTGGCACTGCCTGGGCGGGAGAGACAGTGGCGGCGTTGTGGCCGAGTGGCCTCCCTCTCAGCTCTGTGATGGATGGACCAAGCCGCCCTCCCCGCTAAGCTCTCCGAGGGGCAGCCCGCCGCACTGGCTGGGCGGAGCCGGCTCCCCCGACCGCCCCGGTCCGTGGTGCTTGGGGCCGCAATGCTTTCCTTTCGCAGGAACAGGCCTCCGCTCACTTCCTGGGTGCAGAGAACTCTGGGGCCAGGATCGGCTCCGCGGCGCGCTAGACGGGCGGGGCGCTGCGGGCCTGGTTCCCTTCTCCAGGACAGCACACAGATTCGGGTGCACACCGGGGCGCCCAGAGTGGAGTGTCCCGGAATGTGACTCACCCTGGGCCAGGGACCCCACCGAGGGCTCCACGCGGGCTCCGGGCTCTTCCCAAGCCTTGGCGTATGCCGTTGGGGCGGGAGCGGGCCCTTCAGGGCTCCCGGTGTCCTGCTTCGCCTGCCAGGCACTCCGCCCTCTGCATCCCACTTGCTGAGTGGGCCCCTGGTTCCCCCTCTCCCTATTCACTATTCTCGGGGTCTGGACTCGGCCCCTCTATCCCACCCCCTCCGGACTCCCGCTTTTTCTCTTCTCGCTGTGCGCCCAGCCGGGCGAGGGCAGAGAGAGGTCCCCGTGCGGTTCAGAGTCCTGGAAACTCGCAGTGCCGGGGCCCTGCTGGGCTCCAGTGTGACCTCCTCCACCCGCTGAGCCTAGACCGAGGTTACAGAGAAGCAGGTAGATGCGAGCTCTGTCCCCGCCCCAGGCCCTCGGAGCCCAGGTGACCCTGAAGTTTAAATACAACAGGAAAATGCCGAGCCAGCACCGGGTGAGGAGAAATTAAAAAGGGGAGACTCGACTTGCTGGAGGCTGAGAGCCGCCCCCCCCCCCCCCAAAAAAAAAGGTCCAGAGGAAGAGGAAAGATCCGCAGCAAACCTGGGATCATAGGATCAGTGGGGGAGGCCCCTGGGGGAGGGGCTTGCATTTTTACTTGGAATAAAATCCAGCCAGGTCCTTGATTAGCAAACACAGCATGGGGGGGGGGCGGGGGGGCGGGGCTGTGCTTTGCCCTACAGCAGTGATGGCGACCTTTTGAGCTCGGCGTGCCAGCATTTTGAAAAACCCTAACTTAACTCTGGTGCCGTGTCACATATAGACATTTTTTGATATTTGCAACCATAGTAAAACAAAGACTTTTTTTGATGTTTATTTTACATATTTAAATGCCATTTAACAAAGAAAAATCAACCAAAAAAATGAGTTCGCGTGTCACCTCTGACGCGTCACAGGTTCGCCATCACTGCCCTATAGTGTGCCTATTTAGTTCTCACATCAGTCTTAGGAGGTAGATTGTTATTCCCATTACAGTTGGGGAAACAAAGCAGAGAGGTGAGCTAACCTGTCCAAGTCACACAGCTAGTAATTAAACAAGGTCATTAAAACCAACGACTGCAAAACTGGACATAAGGAGGTGATCTCTGGCAACGTTTTCTCTATTAACAAATCTCTAAATTAGACGTATTTTATGTTTACAATTAAAAGGCTGAGACCACGTCCAGAGGATATGTGCAGGGGGAGCGGAGTGGCGGAGCTGCCGAGGACTCTGTCTCCGGGAGGAGGTTCCCCTGAAGGCTGCTCCAGCCCCTGGGCCCTGCGGGGTGGTGGGTGCAGGGCTGCCCCACGGCTCCATCCCCCAAAGGCAATAGAAACAGAGGCTCTGGGGCATTGGCTGGACACCGTAGAGGCACCGTGACAGGGGGGAGGGCTGCCTGTGACAGCATCTGGGTCCCCTCATGAATTCCTTTCTACTTGAACCAAAAAGGGAAGCATCTCAGCCGAAAATACAAAGCCCAGGTCCCTCCCCACTCTACCCAACCTCGCCCAGCCTCCCCTGGCCCTGCACACGCCGCCTTCTGATGTTAAAGGACCCTGTCACCCTCCGGGGTGCTGCCAGTCTCCGTGGGCCCTTCAGGAGGGAGGCAAGTGCCCCAGCCACCAGGACCCCACTCTCCCTGCTGCTGCGTCCAGCTGCAAGTCCGTCTCTCCCCTCAGCCTTTGCCCAAGCTGCTCCCTAACTTGGAGGCTCCCTTCTTTGTCCTTGCCTCTACTTGCTGAGCGCCTACACGCCCTCAAGGCCCAGCTTGCAAGGCCCCTTGTGTCTGTGGCCTCCCTGATAAGTTGCTCTGTCTCCTCGCTTGTGCCTCTCCATGTTTTGTGGTCAAATGGCCATGTGCCCTGTCCTGCTTCCCCAGCAGACACGGAGCCCCGAGGAAAGCTTGGGGGACAGCAGGTCAGAGTGTGAACTCAAAGTAGTCAGACCTTCTTCAGGGCTCTGTTTTGCCACCTCAAGGCTGTGTGACCTTGGGTGAGTTCCTTTTCTCTCTGTACCTAAGTTCATCTATAAAGAGTGTGTGTTTGTGTGTGTGTGTGTGTGTGTGTGTGGGGGGGGTGACAATGATGTTTGCCCTGCACACTGGCTCTGGGGAGGATTCATGAATGGGAGATGCCAGGCCTTATGCACAGCCTGCACTGCGGGTGACCCAGCCGGGGCCTCCAGTTGGCTGCCGAGTCCTTGGGCTTGGTATCATTTATGTAACCCAATCTGCTTTCAAAGCCCCTTGTTGACATTCGGCAGCATGACAGCTGGCAGGCCCTTTCGGCCAGGTCACCAGACAGCCCACTTAGAGAGGGGTTCCTGGGGAGGGAACCAAGGCAAGTTTGTTTTTGGGGAGACATAATCGCACAGGTCCATCTCCTTGTCAGCAGGAGTGTATGGTCAATGTCCTGTCACATGAGGGAATATCTATGAGCGGCTTCCAGGCCAAGGAGCTCCCCGTCCCTACAGGCTCCGTCCCACAGGATGGGCCCGCGGCAGCAGCGGCCGGAGACAGGACTGGAGGATGCACAGGGCTGGGCCCGTCACGGGGGAGGAGTGAGCTGGGAGTCTCTGGCTCCCCTGGGCCTGAGCTCAGGTGAGGATGGACAGACGAATGGATGGCTGGGCAAGGCAGCCCCTCAGGTCTATGATCTGTAACTTACTTCACGGACAGTGACGGCACGCTGAATGCCTGGGAACTCGGCAGGGCCGCGGGCCATAAAACTGCCTGCCGCTAATGCTGGCCTCCGTGATGACCCGCTGCCCCGTCAGATCAGCCGCCGGCCTGACCTTGAACGCAAGCGCGTGGTTCCTGGGCCCTTTGTAACTGCGGGCCCCTTTATCCCAGAGAAGATAAAGATGAAAACCACGGGTCACTCTGTGGAGTTACAGCATTTGATTTAAAAGTGCTCCATGGTGGCTTCCAGCCAGAGGGCTTCCCCACAGCAGGCAACTCCACTCCTTCCCCGGGCCAGGGTTTTGCCTTGAGCAGCTCATGACCAGGGCCCTTTATTCCTTCCCTCGGGCGTTGTCGGGTGGGAAATTCACGATGCACTAACGGGCACTTAGCCTGAACGGCAGCCATGCGGTTGGGGGCCTCGGAAATCCTGCTTGTGAAATGATAACCTGCACCCTGTCTTGTGAACGCAGCCGTGCATCCAGCCCCCCCTGCAGGGTGTGCCCTGGGCCGTGCTGCTGCGGGGACCAGGCCTCCGCAGGATTTCAGGCCTGGCTCATGCTGGAGGCACCGGGGCTGGGTGCCCGGGGCAGGCACCTGCTTTCATCACTCTGTCTCCCTTTATGCGCTCTCATCTTTAAAAATGCCCTTTCTTCTCTCCTCCCTCTCTGTCCCTCCTGTCTCTCTCTATCCCTCCTCCCCTCTTGCCTCCTCCTTCCTCCTGGGGAGGACCCGCAGGTGCTTGGTCACCCCAGCCCTGATCTAGACTGTTCCTAGATCACAGTGTCTCCTGGACAGTGAGGCTCAGTGAATCCAGGCCTGCCTCCTGGCTCTTCCTACCAGGGCCGGCCCCCACCTCTGTGTGCGGGAAGGTGGAATTTCCCCACCAAGAGCAGAAACTTATCTCTTTCCAACTGTGTCCGCTCAATGTACAGCCTCCACGGTGGGGCCCTGCGTCAGTCTGCTCCTGCTGGCCTGAGGACTTCTGTGAGAGCCCAGGGACGTTCGGGGGGCCCGAAGCATCAAACAGTCTGGACAGAAAGAGAACAATGAAGGGCTGGGACCACGTGTGCTCTTTACTTATATCTTTTAGGGGTTTTGCATTTCCATATTTCCCACTATGAACAAACACTGCACTCACACACTGAATGCAATGGAAGTAAGTCACGTCTTATAGCGTCTGGCTGATGATGCTCCAGTGGGCACAGGAGGCCTGTACAGGGCAGTGAGAGCCAGGTGCCTGTGAGTCAGGCACACGTCCAGCCTCCCTGCGTTTGC